AATTAAAAACATAAAAATTTTTTAAAATAAAAAATAATACTTTTTTATTTTAATTTAAATAAAAAATTTTAAATTTACATCATAGTCATAGGCGTAAAATGAGTTACAAAAATTAGAATGAGATGATCACATGGGTCAGTAATGATAACATTATATATTTTTTATTGTGTAATTCATTTTTTTAGCAGTGTTAGGGGCACTCGCCTCTTGCACTCTCCGGTCAACACTTCCCCTTTCATTGGGCCACGTAAGCTTCTTTTAAGCTGTGAAGTGCAACCTCTGACGACGAAAATAACGTGGTCCAATAATATTGAAAGTGTTGGCCGGAGAGTGCAAAAGGCGAGTGCCCCTAGCATTGCTCTTTTTTTTTTAGTGCCGACTTTTATGCCGTCGATGTCCAAAAACAAAAATGAATGGCGGTCAAAAGCGGACGGTACTGGAAAGAAAAAAGAGTGGTAATTAAAGAATTGATAAATAAGCAATTCGGGAAATTGAATAGTCAAAAGGAACTTAAGTACAGTATTTTGTCTTCAAACTTAAATAATTAAGTTTTATTGATTAAATTAATAATTTAAAGAAATTAATAATCATTTCCTATCGTTTCAACATAAAAACTCATGAGTTTGAATTGTACGGTACATCAGATGGAATAAAATAAATAATAAAAAATAATTACTTTTTTTTTTTTATTTAAATTTTAAGAAAAATTATTGATCAAAGTCCTATTTTCACCTATGACTGCTTGAATAATTCCTTCTTTCTACCAAATTCCCTCTGTTTAAAAGGAAAAGTGAATAGTCAAAAAGTTTGCCGATTTGATGGAAAGTTTAGATTTAAGACTAAGGTTTCAATTTCCCGCTGTTTAAAAAGAAAAATGAATGGTCAAAGAGTTTGCCAATTTGATGGAAAGTTTAGATTTAAGACTAAGGTTTCATTGATCAAAGTTCTACTTTCACCGATGATGATCTGAATAATTCCTTCATTCTCCCAATTTCTCGTTGTTTTAAAAGAAAAATGAATAGTCAAAGAGTTTGCCCATTTGATGGAAAGTTTAGATTTAAGATTAAGGGTTATTTTAATAC